AATTTTGAAAATCTCACGTTTTCCACGTTATCTATACAAATGTTTAGTATAAAATTGTCCAATTTTTTTTCGCGTTGCTCCGATGATTGTCGTTTGACTTTGATAAATACGTTTTAAAAACAACAATGTTTGAATATTAGACATCTCGCACGGGATTTAAAAGTTTAAGGCTACATGCTGAATTGGATTTTTTCCTGGATTTAGAGCTCACTTAACACGGAAATATGATACTGGCGTGTAATCTAATGGACACATATTCTTGTTTCTGATGTTTCTTTTAATATAAATATTCATTTATTAGGTTATATATAATTCCACTAACAAATAATCATGTATCTTTTACTGATGAATTATCATTACATTTTATAGAAACTACATATAATCTACTATACAGTTATGAACACTAATGGTCCTACCGACACTCTGTGCTTTTGACATGACACAAGGTCTTGCTTTTCTAGAGAGTTTATGTATTTTTTTACTTAATTTGTGATATGTACAAAAAAGATGTAGTATGATTGCCAATGAGACAACTCTTCACAAGAAACCAAATGACACAGCAATTAACTATAGGCCACCGTACGACCTTCAACAATGAGTAAAGCCCATACCGAATAGTCATCTATAAGAGGCCACAAATGACAAATGTAAAACAACTATAACGATAAAACTAACGGCCTAACTAATGTACAAAAAAATGAAAGAAAGCACAGCAACAAACGATAACCAGGCTCCTTACTTAGGACAGTCACATCCATACATAATGTGGGGGGGGGGGGGGGTTAAACATGTTAACGGGCCCTCTTACCTGGGACAGTGGAGTAACAGTACGAAATAATTGATTAATATTCTAGACTGGATAATTATTCTGTATTTATTAGTTGTAGTTGTTTTTAAGATAGTGTTCAGTAGCTGTGAATACTCTTAGATCGGTACATGGAGTTTATTTGGTAATACTAGTAATTGCTGTTTTTGTGCTTCGTTTTAGTCGGACGAGTCAATCCCTTTCTTACTGTTTTAATTGTGAGTAGACATGATCATTTGATAAACATACTTCTATGATCTCTATTGCTTTTAACTTAGACATTTATAAAACTTGAACTATGTAGCAAAGAGATGCATGCGTAACATAAGTTCTCGACATCCACTGAATTGAAAACTCCTGACTTGGGAAAGCAAATATAGAATTTGGCCTGATTAAACGCGTTTACCAGCGTTCAACACTCTGGTGTAACAGCACAATATAAGAAATAAAACCGGTAAAATTCAGTTGGAAATAGCTCAACTAATCAATATTGAATTAAGCCCTAAACAATTACATTTTTATGATGAAAGACACAGAGTACCGATCTTAAAGTACCCCCAGGTACTGAAAGCTGATTCTTACATGTTAAATTACCTGAGAATATTAAACGTATTTAGTTAAATCAAAAAAAATAAGGAGATATGATATGATTGCCAATAAGAAATGAAGTGGATGTAAGCAATGATAGGCAACCGTACGGCCTTCATCAATGAGAAAAATCCATACCGTATAGTCGACTATAAAAGGAACCAACTTGAAAAATATGAAACAATTCAATTGAGAAAACTACCGGCCTAATTTAAAACAAAACTATTTACGAAAAACTAATATAACAGATATGAACCAACGACAACAAGTGAACCACAGGCTCCTGACATGGGACAGGCACATAAAGAATGAGTTCTCAACCCCTCCCCCTAAGTCTGGGACAGAGGTGCAACAGCAGGACATAAGAACAACCTGGAAAAACCTTCTTTCACAGAGCTTGGTTTACACATATATACATATTTTAAGTAATTATGAATATAAAATTTGTTTTCAGCCGTGTATCACCTTCACTGGTGATCCTATGCATGGATATGTCGTAGAGTTTAACTTTATATATAAATATATATCTCTAAGGCGAGACAAAAGTTGAAACTAAAAATTTTTGCTTCCCTTAATCAATATGTTATAGTTTAAGAATCCACTTCTAATTGGACTAGTAAGAGTTGTCTTAATCCAAAAACAACTATGACAATATCAAGCCTTACTAATTAAAAGTACATTTTAAAAAGAAAATTACTGTAAAGACTCAAGTGGCATTATAGTTGTCTTAAAAATGTAACAAGTATATAAATTGGCATTCTTGTCCACTTTAAATCAGAGATACTTGAGGACAGGACATTTTTTTAGCCAATTACTTTGTACTATAAATTGATAGTTTACTATCCACAGCGGTCAATGTTTATATGCAGATTAGTCATCTATTGCTAATCAAGTACACCTTCCAAATTACAATCTATATAACGAATTGGTGTACACATTTATTTACATATATCACTTTTAATTACAAAATTCTTTTTTTTAATGTTAGTTGACTTTCATTTGAAAGAAAAGGGTATGTCAACAATTAGAATTGAAAGAAGTACAACACCTGTATCAATTTTTTTTTAAATATACACATCCCTTTGTCGAACGTTTTTTCTGGGGAAAAAATCGGAGATTGTAAATAAACAAGATTAACTGCAGAAGAAGAGAACGTTTGAAATGATGCTTAATAAAGTATGATGCAATCCCAGTTATCAACTTTAACAGAGACAAATTCTGACTAACACTTTGAATTCGATATTTCTGAAATTGCTAGAAAAATCTCTGTCTAATAATAAACACCAACGGAAATTAAATATTATAAAACATTAAGAGACGAAAGGAAATAAAAAAGGGACACCAATCTGATAACGACAAATAAAAGCATGTCAAATATTAAATAATAAAAGGTTCATTCGCAAAGTATATCGAAAAACAAAAGCATGGTCAAAACCATGAAAGACAACTCAAATCAATTGTATGATAGGTAAAGATACGTGTATATACGTGGTCTTATGACATTGAAGTTTTGGCGGGAATCTCAATAATCACGTGATATATAAAAATCATGATTTCTTTTTTTTTTCATCATCTTAGAACTTGATATTGATAAAATTTATCATGAATGGGTTTAATAGTTTAGGAATTCTTAGTTAAAACTTGAGTGACGTATTTAACAAAATTAATAGGTTAGCAATAACCGGTCCCGTTACGTGCGTACGTCGAGTTAGGTACGTATGTCATTTTATTGGAAATCTCTAGTCGTTCCGGGTCTATACAAGTTAATAAGGATTTTTTTTTACCCTTTTTTAAGTTTTTGGTTAGAGGTCATCAAGTATTCATACCATCTTGAATAAGGCAAGTTGTGAATATATGCATCATAGAATTCTTTTAATGGAAAAAAAAAACCATACAAAAAAAAAAGGGATGACATAGATCTTGGCTTCGAATATGTACTTTAATAAATGGCGGGTTTAAGCTAGCTGAAGTTTGGCGAAATATACTTTACAGCGGGGATTTGACGAATTTCAATCAATCAATCAATCAATCAATTGATCAATAAAATAGCGGTTTGGAAATAATGGTACGGTTCAATATGACAATGGAAAACTAACCCTAAAGGTATTGATTGATTTTTGTTTGATTAATGTCCAATGACAAATATTTCATGCAAATTCAGGACGAGGAGTTAAAAACCAAATCCAAAAGGCAGGTTCTGAAAAGTGGGTCGACTTGGAAGAGGGGTTGGGAAATTTGCTGGCACTGGAAAAAGAGAACATGTTGCATAGGGACAATACTACTTTAGGTGGGAGGGGTTCAGATGACCAAATTTCTACACCTTAGTCAACCCTTTGTGTTAACCCTGAAGTGAAAACTGAAACCTTATCCTCTATTATGATGAAGTTATATTGAGTGTATCTGTTTACCAAACAATCAATAATTATGCTACTGATAAGATATCTTTACTCTTTACTTTACAAATTGAACTTCGACCCTTATCATTTTTCATCTTTTGTCAGTTATTCATGAACGAAATGCAGTGATTAAAAGGGATGACAACACTTTTTTAACATTGTTCTCTATCGTGTAAAAGGTGATAAACATGATGTGTAATTAGAGGAGGCATCACACGGACATGTTTACAGATCCAGTAAGTAGATATACAGTAGGAATAGTTAATTCTGTCAATAATGTCACCCCTCGATTTGGGAAATATTAGATATATCGATCATGTGCATAAATAAATAAATAAGAAAATAAGAAAATTTATAAATAGATGAGTTTAAAATATTTGTCTACCACACATACACAGGTATAAATGGCCATTATACACATTATGTTATCTTTGAGTGTCCTCATCCGATAACGAATCCACATACACATTCAGGTTTTAATGGAGTAAAGTAAAACGAGATTTGGCTTATACGTGGCTGGTCGTCAATGAGACAGCAACCAGAAAGACAGAAAAAAAAAACAAAACAAAAAAAACACACGCATCAGGTGCGTGTTCAGGCAGAGCGCACACCCCATCCCTCTAAAAAAGAAAAAGAATAGTAAAAATAAAATTACAAAGCTAATTTTGTGTAAAAATAAGGTCCTATAATTCCTAATTATCAGGAGCGCCCCTCCATTACATAAATTCCTGGATCCGCACCTGCAAACGTCTAGAGATTATTATATGTATTAGATACACCTTGAGGGCGTCAGCCCGAATGGGTGTATCTGATTTACACCAAGATATCATCGTCAGTGCAGCATGATAGTTTTCAATTATTTAGGAGGGGGGTCTTTCAGCGATTTTACCATATGTTATTTAAAAGCAAAAAAAAAAATAATAATGAAGTAGTATTCAGTATTAATGAATATATGTATATATTATATATACGTGCACCAGAGATTATTTTAAAAGTTGCATGAACGAAAATCGTTTTGACGATCGGAATTTGATGACAAAAAAAAACCCCAAAAAAACAGCACCGATAAATTACAACCACTGGGTCATGAAATGCAGGTTTGAAAAAGCAGAATTAGTTACCCTAAAAGTTATATAGGAAAGCGATAAAATCTAAAACTGAATATACATGTACGCATGTACGGATTATATATCAGGGTCTTATTGATTGATAGTCACACGTTTTTTCCCTGTAATTTCTAAATATTTATCATGAATGAAATTCAGATGGCTTTAACTTTTGTAAATCGTAAATATCAATTGAACAAGATCGTTTATGGGATCAAACACTTTATCTTGAGGACAATTACTAGGTATATATAAAAACAAATCTGGAGTTCAACGACCGATGAATGACAACGGACAGTGCACCCCGACAAGTATGCAAGAAGTTAATTATGTAAGTTATGTAACAGCGATACATTGTAACACTCTCTTCTATAGTAATAATATGTGTTTTTTTTACAGTTACTGCCAAAGACCCGATCAGGTAAGAGCGATAGGTTAATTTACGATCAGGTAAGAGATATAGGTTAATTGATTGAAATATATGTCGGTCATTGTTAGTCATCATTTTATAAATACGATAACGATAAAACTTGAAAAAAATAAGCTGTTTACGGTAATACTATTAAAAAAGATAGAAATTATACTGTTACATTTTCAATCACTGCATCTGCTGTTTTTGATAAACATCAATTTGCTAATTTATACATAGAAACAATACTAAACTATTTAATTTTTTATTTGAAATTCTACATTACCATATGTTATTTAAAAGCAAAAAAAAAATAATGAAGTAGTATTCAGTATTAGTCACAGTCATTATTTAATATCAGCAGGTTAGATACTTTGAGCTTGATTTCAGTTACTGCGAACATACTTGACAGTTTTGGGGCCTCGGTTGCCGAGTGGTCTAAGTAATTCAACTACTGCACCGCTAGCCTTGTGAGTTCGAACCCCGCACGTAGCAGGCGCATTCGACTCTCATCTTAATTGACTAGGATTGCCAGTTTTCTTGCCGAAGATGTTGGTTCTCTCCGGGCACTCCGACTTCCTTCCTCAATAAAAACTGCCTGCCACGAAACAGGCCAAGTGGTGTGAACTGCCCTTGAATTTTTACTAGATAACATTTTTGTTCGCTATGGAGATTCCGTATATCGTCAAGTTATCGGAATTCCAATGGGGACTAACTGTGCACCACTTATTGCGGACCAGTTTCTGTATTGTTATGAGTTACAATTTATGACTAAAATCAGCAAAGACCCATCGAAACAACATCTGATTCAAAAATTTAATAACAATTTTAGATATTTGGATGATATATCAAGGCTCTCAATAATGACGACTTCAGTATATACACTAAGGAGATTTATCCTGCTGAACTGACTTTACATAAAGCTAATACTAACAATGAGCACTGACCTTTCCTGGATCTTGATATCTATATCGTAAACGGGAAGCTTACAACCAAAATTTATGACAAAAGAGATGATTTTTCATTTCCTATGGTTAATTATCCATTTTTTTATGGTGGCACTCCCTTGTCACCATCTAATGGTGTTAATATATCTCAACTTGTACGATTCTCTGGAGTATGTAACAATGTATTTGATTTTAACGAAAGAAATCTCTGTATTACTGAAAAATTATTACACCAGGGTTTTCGATATCACAAACTAGTCAAAACATTTACTAAATTTTATCATCGGTTCAAGGACATCTTTCGTAAATATAAATCAACATGCAGATATCTTATACGTTCAGGTATTTCACATCCAATCTTTTATGGTAATATTCTATACAAAGCACAAAGATGTCGGCATTCACCTCAAAAGCTAATCAAACCTTTAAACAGACTATTCAGAAAGGATATAGTTACGATACTGTTGTCAGGTCATTAAAGATTGCATATTTTGGTTTTAATATTGATTCACTCATAGGGTCTTTGCATCGGAAATAAACACATTTATTCTAAAACCAGTTTTTGGCATGGTACGGGTTATGTTCTTCTCATATATTTTATGATGGTTTGATACTAAACCCCTAACGGGAGGGATTGTGCTTGATTTTCATATGATGAAGACATAATCTTTCAAACAGTTTAATTGACGTCTTGAACTGGCATGTCAGTAACTGCTAGTAGTCCTTTGTTATTTTATCTATCAATGTCATTTTGCTTAGTTTCTTTTGTTACCTATTCTGACATCGGACTCGGACTTCTTTTAAACTGAGTTTTACTGTGCGTATTGCTGTGTGTTTGTTTATTCTACATTGGCTAGAGGTATAGGGGTAGGGTTGAGGTCTCACAAAACATGTTCAACCCCGCCTCATTTTTGCGCCTGTCTCAAGTCAGGAGCATCTGGCCTTTGTTAGTCTTGTATGTTTTTTTAAATTTTAGTTCATTTATATGTTTTGGAGTTTAGTATGACGTCCATTTTCACTGAACTAGTACACATTTTTGTTTAGGGGCCAGCTGAAGCCCTCCTCCGGATGCGGGATTAACTCGCTGTGTTAAAGACCCATTGATGGCCTTCGGCTGTTTTCTGCTCTTCGGTCGGGTTGTTGTCTCTTTGACACATTCCCCATTTCCATTCTCAATTTTATTAAAAATACCAACAAATCAATATTAATAGTTTGATTACATATCAGTGGGATAATAGTTTGAGCTTGCTTTCAGTTGCTGCAAATATTTTTTAAACGGAATAATATTCATTTGGTTGTTATATGTTTGCTTTTGCTTGTATTTTTTTTATCTGTTATACAGTTATATGTTAAGTGCTTTACCTGCATTATTTTGTGTTTATAAAATAAGGAGATGTGGTATTATTGCCATTGATACAACTACCACTATACACCATAGTTCAAATGACGTTGATTTAAACACCTATCGACCACCGGACGACCTTGAAGAGTAAGCAAAACCCATACCGTTAGCTAATGATAGAGCCCCTTTTTTTTTTCGCAAAACACCACCATTGCCAATCTAGTAAAACTGCATAATTGTTTTACCTATAGGTTTCCATGAAATGAAGAGTTTTGATACGCAACATAGACTTAAACTCGGGATCAAATATTGTGTTTTGTTGTATCTCCAGATACGTTAACGTCAACGTTTCTGATATGAGTGGATATGTTTTAAATTGACCGACCTCTAATGCAAGTAATAATGCATTCGAACAAAATATCCAATCGATATATTAGTGCTCAGACAACTAATAACATACTTATGAGATTTCTGTTTTCGAACATAAATAGCACATACCAGCCAAAGTATAGAATATTTTAAATAGCTAATGATGTGTAGTTTCTAAGAAAACGATTCGATTTCCAACATATTCAACAGATGTTTTTTTCTTTTTCTCTTTTTAGACGAAATCGGCATTACAAAATTATGACTGTCATCAAGTCATCGACGATGAATAAAAAACGTAAACATAAAGTGAAGGAATTCCCTCATCCTGTTGATTCTGGGTGGTCATGGATGGTATTACTAGGTTAGTACAAATAAAGTGAAGGAATTCCCTCATCCTGTAGATTCTGGGTGGTCATGGATGGTATTACTAGGTTAGTACAATGAAAGTGAAGGAATTCCCTCATCCTGTTGATTCTGGGTGGTCATGGATGGTATTACTAGGTTAGTACAATGAAAGTGAAGGAATTCCCTCATCCTGTTGATTCTGGGTGGTCATGGATGGTATTACTAGGTTAGTACAAATAAAATGAAGGAATTCCCCCTTCCTGTTGATTCTGGGTGGTCATGGATGGTATTACTAGGTGAGTACAATGAAAGTGAAGGAATTCCCTCATCCTGTTGATTCTGGGTGGTCATGGATGGTATTACTAGGTTAGTACAAATAAAATGAAGGAATTCCCCCATCCTGTTGATTCTGGGTGGTCATGGATGGTATTACTAGGTTAGTACAATGAAAGTGAAGGAATTCCCTCATCCTGTTGATTCTGGGTGGTCATGGATGGTATTACTAGGTTAGTACAATGAAAGTGAAGGAATTCCCCCATCCTGTTGATTCTGGGTGGTCATGGATGGTATTACTAGGTTAGTACAAATAAAGTAAAGGAATTCCCTCATCCTGTTGATTCTGGGTGGTCCTGGGTGGTATTACTAGGTTAGTACAAATAAAATGAAGGAATTCCCTCATCCTGTTGATTCTGGGTGGTCCTGGATGGTATTACTAGGTTAGTACAAATAAAATGAAGACATTCCCTCATCCTGTTGATTCTGGGTGGTCATGGATGGTATTACTAGGTTAGTACAAATAAAATGAAGACATTCCCTCATCCTGTTGATTCTGGGTGGTCATGGATGGTATTACTAGGTTAGTACAAATAAAATGAAGACATTCCCTCATCCTGTTGATTCTGGGTGGTCATGGATGGTATTACTAGGTTAGTACAAATGAAATGAAGACATTCCCTCATCCTGTTGATTCTGGGTGGTCATGGATGGTATTACTAGGTTAGTACAAATAAATTGAAGGAATGCCCACATCCTGTTGATTCTGAAGGTCCTGGATGGTATCACTAGGTTAGTACAAATAAATTGAAGGAATGCCCTCATCCTGTTGATTCTGGTGGTCCTTTATGGTATCACTAAGTTAGTACAAATAAAGTGAAGAAATTCCCTCATCCTGATGGTCCTGGATGGTATTACTAGGTTAGTACAAATAAAGTAAAGGATTTCCCTCATCCTGATGGTTCTAGATGGTATTACTAGGTTAGTACAAATAAAGTGAAGGAATTCCCTTATCCTGTTGATTCTAGATGGTCCTGGATGGTATTACAAGGTAAGAACAAAGAAAGTGAAGGAATTCCCTCATCATGTAGATTCTAGATGGTCTTAGATGGTATAACTAGGTAAGTACAAATAAAGTAAAGAAATTCCCTCATCCTGTTGATTCTGTATGGTATTACTTGGTTAGTACAAATAAAGTAAAGGAATTCCCTCATCTTATTGATTATAGATGGTCCTGGATGGTATAACTATGTTAGTACAAAGAAAGTGAAGGAATGCCCTCATCCTGTTGATGCTGGATGATCTTAGATGGTATAACTAGGTTAGTGCAAGTAAAGTGAAGGAATGCCCTCATCCTGTTGATTTTAGATGGTCCTTGATGGTATTACTAGGTTAGTACAAATAAAGTGAAGGAATACCCTCATCCTGTTGATTCTGGTTGGTATTACTAGGTTAGTACAAAGAAAGTGAAGGAATGCCCTCATCCTGTTGATTCTGGATGATCTAAGATGGTATAACTAGGTTAGTACAAGTAAAGTGAAGGAATGCCCTCATCCTGTTGATTTTAGATGGTCCTTGATGGTATTACTAGGTTAGTACAAATAAAGTAAAGGAGTTCCCTCATCCTGATGGTCCTAGATGGTATTACTAGGTTAGTACAAATAAAGTGAAGGAATTCCCTTATCCTGTTGATTCTGGATGGTCCTTGATGCTATTACTAGGTTATTACAAATAAAGTGAAGGAATTCACTCATCCTGTAGATTCTGGATGGTATAACTAGGTTAGTACAAATAAAGTAAAAGAATTCCCTCATCTTATTTGATTCTAGATGGTCCTGGATGGTATTACTAGGTTAGTACAAATAGAGTAAAGGAATTCCCTCATCCTGTTGATTCTGGGTGGTATTACTAGGTTAGTACAAAGAAAGTGAAGGAATGCCCTCATCCTGTTGATTCTTGATGATCTTAGATGGTATAACTATGTTAGTACAAATAAAGTGAAGGAATTCCCTCATCCTGTTGATTCTGGATGGTCTTGATGGTATCACCTGATGGTCCTAGATGGTATTACTAGGTTAGTACAAATAAAGTAAAGGAATTCCCTCATCCTGTTGATTCTGGATGGTCCTGGATGGTATAACAAGGTTAGTACAAATAAAGTGAAGGAATGCACTCATCCTGTTGATTCTGGGTGGTCCCGGATGGTATTTCTTTGTTAGTACAAATAAAGTGAAGGAATGCCCTCATCCTGATAGTCCTAGATGGTATTACAAGGTTAGTACAAATAAAGTTAAGAAATTCCATCATTCTGATGGTCCTAGATGGTATTGCTAGGTTAGTTCAAATAAAGTGAAGGAATTCCCTCATCCTATTGATTCTAGATGGTCCTCGATGGTATTACTAGGTTAGTACAAACAAAGTGAAGGAATGCCCACATCCTGTTGATTCTGGGTGGTCCTTTATGGTTTCACTTGGTTAGTACAAATAAAGTGAAGGAATGCCCTCATCCTGTTGATTCTGGGTGGTCCTTTATGGTATCACTAAGTTAGTACAAATAAAGTGAAGGAATTCCCTCATCCTGATGGTCCTAGATGGTATTACTAGGTTAGTACAAATAAAGTAAAGGAGTTCCCTCATCCTGATGGTCCTAGATGGGTATTACTAGGTTAGTACAGATAAAGTGAAGGAATTCCCTTATCCTGTTGATTCTAGATGGTCCTGGATGGTATTACAAGGTAAGTACTAAGAAAGTGAAGGAATTCCCTCATCATGTAGATTCTAGATGGTCTTAGATGGTATAACTAGGTTAGTACAAATAAAGTAAAGAAATTCCCTCATCCTGTTGATTCTGGATGGTATTACTTGGTTAGTACAAATAAAGTAAAGGAATTCCCTCATCTTATTGATTATAGATGGTCCTGGGTGGTATTACTAGGTTAGTACAAATAGAGTAAAGGAATTCCCTCATCCTGTTGTTTCTGGGTGGTAATACTAGGTTAGTACAAAGAAAGTGAAGGAATGCCCTCATCCTGTTGATTCTGGATGATCTTAGATGGTATAACTAGGTTAGTACAAATAAAGTGAAGGAATGTCCTCATCCTGTTGATTTTAGATGTTCCTTGATGGTATTACTAGGTTAGTACAAATAAAGTGAAGGAATGCCCTCATCCTGTTGATTCTGGGTGGTTCCGCGTGGTATTACTAGGTTAGTACAAAGAAAGTGAAGGTATTCTCTCATCCTATTGATTCTGGATGGTCCTGGGTGGTATTACTAGATTAGTACAAACGTATTGGTAGGTAGGAAAGCATTTAAGGTGTTTGATTATATTACTAGGTAATTGTTCTGTTAAAGAATGGTATTGCTAGGTAGGAAGACATTCATAACATATTTACATATCAACCATGACATTTGTCGTACGTGACAACACCATACATGATCTACATATTACTTTGTCAGAATTGGTATAATGACAAGTCTTAAAATTGTGGAAAAAAATATTTTAAATATTGATATATTGACAAGTTCTGGACGGTTGTCAGGATTGGTATTATGTCAAGTTCTGAACCGTTGTCATGATTGATATTATGGCAAGTTCGTAACAAGAAATAAAAAAATGTTTTCATGATTGATATTATGGCAAGTTCGTAACAAGAAGTCCAAAAAGGTTTTCATGATTGATATTATGGCAAGTTCGTAACAAGAAGTCAAAAAAGGTTGCCATGATTGATATTATGGCAAGTTCGTTACAAGAAGTCAAAAAAGGTTGTCATGATTGATATTATGGCAAGTTCGTAACAAGAAGTCCAAAAAGGTTTTCATGATTGATATTATGGCAAGTTCGTAACAAGAAGTAAAAAAATATTTTTCATGATTGATATTATGGCAAGTTCGTAACAAGAAGTCCAAAAGATTGTCGGGATTGGTATTATGTCAAGTTCTGAACAGTTGTCATGATTAGTATTATAACAAGTTCTTAACAAGAAGACCAAAAAGGTTTTCATGATTGGCATTATAACAAGTTCTTAACAAGAAGTCCAAAAAGGTTTTCATGATTGATATTATGGCAAGTTCGTAACAAGAAGTCAAAAAAGATTTTTCATGATTGATATTATGGCAAGTTCGTAACAAGAAGTCCAAAAGATTGTCAGGATTGGTAAAATGACAAGTTCGCAACAAGTAGGCTAAAAATCGTCAGGATTGGTAGTATCACAAGTTCTAAACAAGTAGTTCAAACGGCTGTTATGATTACATATATGACAAGATCTACATAAGTGGACCAAAAGTTAGCTGTCATTGGTAAAATTAAAGCCTTTTTAATGTAGTTTTAGTGTAGATCAAAAATTTTCAAAATTTGTATTACTAGTATCACTATTATCAAGAAGACTTAACAGATGTGACAGTTATGTTGCCAAAGATCCTAAATGTCCATATCGTCAATCCGATAGGTAATTTTAAAGTTGGTTAGACCTTGGGTAAACTAATGTTACTGTAGTTTCTAATAATGTTTACAGCACTCAGTATTCCATTGTTTTATGGATGTTATCCAGAACAGTCATAAAAAACAGAAACCAGTTTGAAGGAAAACATATTAAACGTTTGTTTTGTGGTTAGAGAATACAGTAAGGACATATTAATGGCTACTGGTCGGATAATAGGCCTTGAAATGAGTAAGGACATATTAATGGCTACTAATATTTGAGGCGTTTGTAGGTTTCGTTATTTCCATTATACTTTAAGCAATTTTCTTTCATATCCTTGGAATGGATCTCAGTATGTTTTTTGTGCATACACATTGTGAATGTATCCCAGTATATAACCACATATTATCTTGAACATAGGTGTCAGTGTTTCCTTATTAACGTTCATTATTATATTTTATATGTAAACTAATAAAACCTTTATATTTTCAGCTTCATTCATACTGTTTGTAACGTTTGGTGGTATTTTGAGATCTTTTGGTATATATATGGTAGAGTTTTTGACAGTTTATAACACAGACTCGACGTCATCGTCGCTTATTATTGGCTTGCAGTTTGCTACTAGTAGTGTTGTCGGTAGGTCTGTAAAGTTGCTACACATCACGTCGTCACCATGAATCATCTTGTTGACATTAAGTCACCTTCAAGACGTTTCGTAGGCAATAGGCATACTACCAACCATGCAAAATAGTGCAATATAAAATAGTGTTTGCAATTTTTGAAATCAAAACTTAAAAAGACACAAAAAATGTCATATCAAAGAATGCTCGCAATTACCGAAGGCAAACTTAAAACGATACAAAATAATATCACATCAAAGAATGTTTGCAATTACTTGAGGCAAACTTAAAACGATACAAATTAATATCACATCAAAGAATGCTCGCAATTACTGAAGGCAAACTTAAAACGATACAAAATAATATCACATTAAAGAATGCTCGCAATTACTGAAGGCAAACTTAAACGACACAAAATAATATCACATCAAAGAATGCTTGCAATTACTGAGGGCAAACTTAAAACGATACTGTACAATTATAGCCTTTGTATGAGGTCGATATAACATCGTATTGACCTCAAACAAAGGCTACAATTGTTTTTTTTATTAATCAACAACTATTGCATAAACAATGTAAAATTGGGGATTTCTAGAATGTAGTTTTATTAACATGCTGTATGCCCTGTGCAATATGCTGTTTTTGACCTTCGAAAAGCTAAACACATCAGTATTGGCGTGCACACTGAGTAAATACAAATGTACATGTGATCAAGTTTTAACGAATCACAAATCCTTCAAAATATTCGATTAGTAATATAAAATAATATCACATTAAAGATTGCTCGCAATTACTGAAGGCAAACTTAAAACGACATAAAATAATATCACATCAAAGAATGCTCGCAATTACTGAGGGCAAACTTAAAAAGTTACAAAATAATTATATCATATTTATTTTTGAATTTCAGGTTTCCTAAGCATGACAATAGGACTGAAGTTTCTGACACCCAGACAGGTGATAATGACGGGTGGATTTATTGGCAGTCTTGGATTAATATGTAATACATTTGCTCAAAGTATCTACTTCTTCATTTTCTCTCACAGCATTTTAGTCGGTAAGTTGTTTCTTATATATGAGAAAGTCGTTCTCATCCGCAGGCTTTCCCTGTATTCAGTTTCAGAAAGCAGATTCCATTCATGTTGGTGGATCTCTTGTTACCTTTTTTTGGATGGGCCGGTCCGATATGATCTTGTTTTGTAATTTTAAAATATTGAAGCGTTGAAGGTCAAAAATATTGTTAGCAAAATTTTGTGCACCCAGTGTGCTGAAATGGGTTTGCCTAGTTAATAGAATAATTCGCCCTCCAAAGTTTGGTTGTCAATTTAAAGTATAGTTATGTTTGTTTCATGGTTTGTTAGCTCACCGGGGCCCGAAGGGCCCCATGTGAGCTTATGCCATCACTTGGCGTCCGTCGTCGTCCGTCGTCTGTCGTCGTCGTCTGTCGTCGTCGTCGTCGTCTGTTGTCGTCTGTCGTCGTAAACTATTTCAAAAATCTTCTCCTCTGAAACTACTGGGCCAAATACCTCCAAACTTTAACTAAATGTTCCTTATGGTATCTAGTTTATAAATTGTATCCGAAGTTTTGATCCATCGACAAACATGGCCGCCATGGCTAAAAATAGAACATAGGGGTCAAATGCAGTTTTTGGCTTATATCTCAACAAGAGTGCACACACTGAAATGTCTCGCCTTCTTTACTAACCATTGATATTATGTTGATAGTCCTAAATGAAAGCTTTACTAAAACTATTACATAAACTTAACATGATCCAAGAAAATGAAGTCAAGGTCATATAAATCAAACGAGAAATACATGTACACCTTACAATCATTCAATACACTAAATATAGTTGACCTATTGCTTATAGTTTCTAAGAAACAGACTTAACCAAGAACTAAACATTGACCAATGAATCGTGAAAATGAGGTCAAGGTCAGATGAACCATGCCAGGCAGACATGAACAGCTTACAATCCTTCCATACAACAAATATAGCTGACCTATTGCTTATAGTTTAAGAAAAACAGACTGAAACACATAAACTTAACACTGAGCAATGAACCGTGAAAATGAGGTCAAGGTCAAATAAAACCTGCGAGACTGACTTGTACATCATAGAATATTACCATACACCAAATATAGTTGACTTATTGCATATAGTATAAGAAAAAAGACCAAACTCCAAAAACTTAACTATAACCACTGAACCATGAAAATGAGGTCAAGGTCAGATGACACCTGCCAGCTAGACATGTACACCTTACAATCATTCCATACACCAAATATAGTAGTCCTATTGCATAAAGTATAAGAAAAACGGACCAAAACACAAAAACTTAACTATAACCACTGAACCATGAAAATGAGGTCAAGGTCAGATGACACCTGCCAGCTAGACATGTACACCTTACAATCATTCCATACACCAAATGTAGTAGACCTATTGCATAAATATATGAAAAAGGGACCAAAACACAAAAACTTAACTATAACCACTGAACCATGAAAATGAGGTCAAGGTCAGATGACACCTGCCAGTTGGACATGTACACCTTATAGTCCTTCCATCCGAATATACTAGACCTTTTGCTTATAGTATCTGAGATATGGAATTGACCACCAAAACTTAACCTTGTTCACTGATCCATGAAATGAGGTCGAGGTCACGTGAAAACTGTCTGACAGGCATGAGGACCTTGCAAGGTACGCACATACCAAATATAGTTATCCTATTACTTATAATAAGAGAGAATTTAACATTACAAAAAATCTGAACTTTTTTTTCAAGTAGTCACTGAACCATGAAAATGAGGTCAAGGACATTGGACATGTGACTGACGGAAACTTCGTAACATGAGGCATCCATATACAAAGTATGAAGCATCCAGGTCTTCCACCTTCTAAAATATAAAGCTTTTAAGAAGTTAGCTAACGCCGCCGCCGCCGCCGCCGCCGCCGGATCACTATCCCTTTGTCGAGCTTTCTGCGACAAAAGTCGCAGGCTCGACAAAAACTAAAGCTTTTAGAGCAAATCTGACATGGGGTAAAATTGTTCAATTGGTCAAGATCTATCAGCTCTGACATTTTCAGACGAATCGAACAACCCATTGTTGGGTTGCTGCCACCGAATTGGTTGTTTTAACAAAATTTTGCAGTTTTTTGTTATTATTTTGAATATTATTATAGATATATATAAACTGTAAGCAGCAATAATGTTCAGCAAAGTAAGATCTACAAAAAAGTAAATATTACCATAATTGTCAATTGATCCCTTAAGGATTTATTGCCCTTTAAAGACAATTTTACACAATTTGTTCATCAAGTTTGCTAACATTTAAAAGTCTTCTCCTCTGAAACTACTGGGCCAAATACCTTCAAACTTTAATTAAATGTTCCTTAGGGTATCTTGTTTATAAATTGTATCCGAAGTTTGTATCCATCGACAAACATGGCCGCCATGGCTAAAAATAGAACATAAGGGTCAAATGCAGTTTTTGGCTTATATCTCAAAAACTAAATCTTTTAGAGCAAATGTGACAGGGGTAAAATTGTTTAATTGGTCAAGATCTATCGGCCCTGAAATTTTCAGACGAATCGAACAACCCATTGTTGGGTTGCTGCCACCGAATTGGTAGTTTTAACAAAATTTTGCAGTTTTTTGTTATTATTTTGAATATTACTATAGATATATATAAACTGTAAGCAGCAATAATGTTCAGCAAAGTAAGATCTACAAAAAAGTTAATATGACCAAAATTGTCAATTGACCCCTTCAAGAGTTATTGCCCTTTAAAGACAATTTTACACAATTTGTTCATAAAGTTTGCTAACATTTAAAAATCTTCTCCTCTGAAATACAGGTGAGCGATTCAGGCTCTTGAGAGCCTCTTGTTTATGTTGCTGTCGTTCTGGGAGGCTTGTATGAACGCATTATTTTTTTTCCATTTTGTTAGAGATTTAGTCTTGTCTTTGAAGTTGTTTTTGTTTGCACTATTTCCTAGTAAGTTTTTTTCCTTAATTATCAGCATTATGTTGATACCCTTAACTTCAAATTTGTAAATATACTTAAAGGTTGATCAAACAATCAATGAACTAGCCCAACTATCCCATAGATACAATAATAAAAGTACGGTTATTTAAGAATTTAAGCATTTTAGTTATAACTGCATGCAATCTTAAACTAGATGATCCATTTTTTTTATGTCTTTGCCTGAACTGACGCATGTTGTTGCTCCATATATCATTTCATTTGTTTTGAATCATTGTTTGTTCAGTTATTATATGCCATCAACCCTCCGGGTTTTAACTATCATGCATTTGAAATTAAGATATAAATTTACTTCGTTTATTTACAGGGATTGCCATAGGTTCTATAAACGGGCCATGTTTGTTCGTACTCGGAAAGTATTTTGACAAACGAAGGAGTTTAGCGAACGGAATAACTATGAGTGGTGTGAGCTTTGGTGGTCTTATAATGGGACCTTTATCCAGACTACTTATTGATACATACGGACTTAGAGGAGCCTTTCTCATAATTGGGGGAATCCATTTTCATACAGTAATGGCAGGTGCTTTATTACGACCAGAAACGTTTTATCGGGTTGTTATTAAAAAAAGAAACCGTAAAATCAGTGATGATAAAAGCCAAGATCAGAGAACGAGAAAAATAAGTGAAAATAAAAACCCAGATCAGAGAACGAGAAAAATAAGTGATGGTAAAAATCCAGAACATAGAATTAGAAAAATAAGTGATGGTAAACACCCAGAACATATAATTAGACAAATAAGTGATGGTAAAAACCCAGAACAAAGAACTAGAAAAATAAGCGACTCTAGAAAACCAGAAACAAAAGCACTTTTAGAAGAAAATAATGATCAGTTTGACGGATTCCGTCCAAGGTCATTAACAGGAGATTCGTTCTCGCCTTTAGCTAGAAAAGCAATGCTACAACGAATGCGTTCAAGAACAGAATCAGAAATTGTGCAAGTTGAAATGGATCCAACTTTAGTTGAATCAAACCAGCATATCAGCTCGTCTCAAGGAAATATACTTGCAAAATTTGAAAGTTCCGAGACGAAAAGAAGACATTATTTAAGTAGCGAATTTTTATATGATATCAATACAGCTGAAATAATTCGATCAATAAGTGATGAGAGTGTTAATAAGCTATCAAAAGGAGATGCGACTTTAGTAAGGAAACATAGCATAGTGTCCGTTCTTCGTTATGTGTTTAACTGTGCGATTTTTAGAAATATTGCGTTCACTTTGTTTATAATAGCTTATTTAACAGGAAGTATTGGTTGTTTATATCCAATCATGTTCATTCCTCCGTTAGCAGACTTCCACGGGATAGACAAAACCCGTACTAGTCTTATCATATCTATTTCCAGTGTTATAGACATATTTGGTCGGGCTGGAAGTGGAATATTCGCAGATCATGGTTTTATTGGTAGAAAACATATTATGATTATTGCATTGATTATATGTGGTATTATAAATTCCTTAAGCCCATTTTATACCGAATTCTGGTCCCTTGTTTTATATTCTGTGATATATGGACTCGTTGGAGGGACTATGTTTGCTATTAATTCATCTACCTTGTCAGAAATAATCGAACCTGAACGTTTCGGTCAAGCTATTGGGCTAATGACTGGAGGTCAGCACATATTTTTTGGGATTACTGGACCATTCAATGGTAAGTAGCTTACAGAAGAAATTTAAATTGGCGGGAAGAAATATATATCTAAACAACTCTTATTTCTGTCATGTCAACGAAGATCGCTGTTTAAAGTGAAATCATTACAATGGTTACAGACATAGTCAAAACAACTTTCAGGTTTTAAGCGAGCATTGAAGAATTGATTCAAAATGTTAAGTGTTTACTTTCATTGTCGAGCCTGCGACTTCTGTCGCAGAAAGCTCTACCTAGGGATAGTGATCCGGCGATGGCGGCGGCAGCAGCGGTGACGGCGGCGTTAACTAACTTTTTAAAAGCTTAATATTTCAGAAGGTAGAATACCTGGAAGCTTCATACTTTGTATATAGATGCCTTATGATATGAAGTCTCCGTCCGTCATATGTCCATTGTCCTTTACCCAATTTCATGGTGCAGTGACTACTTGAAAAAAAAGTTAAGACTTTATGTAATGTTAATTTCTCTCTTATTATGAGTAAAAGGATAACTATATTTGGTATGTGCGTACCCTGCATGGTCCTCATGCCTGTCAGTCAGTTTTCACTTGACCTCGACCTCATTTCATGGATCAGTGAACAAGGTCAAGTTTTCGTGGTCAAGTCCATGTCTCAGATACTATAACCAATAGGTCTTCTATATTTGGTGTATTGTAATGATTATAAGGTGTACATGTCCAACTGGCTGGTGTCATCTGACCTTGACCTCATTTTCATTGTTCAGTGGTAAAAGTTAAGTTTTTGTGTTTTGGTCTTGTTTGCTAATACTGTATACAATAGGTCAACTATATTTGATGTATGGAAATATTTTACGATGTACATGTCAGTCTGGCAGGTTTAATTGACCTTGACCTCATTTTTACGGTTCATTGGTCAATATAAAATTTCCATGGTTTGGTCTGTTTCTTTTATACTATAAGCAATATGTCATCTATATTCGGTGTATTGAATGATTGTATTAAATGTGTACATGTATTTCCGGCTTGGTTTATCTGATCTTGACCTCATTTTCTTGGATCATAAATGTTAATGTGATACTTGTAGTAAAACTTTATATTTAGGACTGTCAACATAAAATCAATGGTCAGTATAGCAGGCGAGACATTTCAGCGTGTGCTTTCTTGTTTCTATAGTTAGTTGAACCCTATGGATGTGTACCAAGGTGTTGCAGACGAAAGCAGCGTTGTGTTTTCCTGGCATTTAAATATTTTCCTTGAGTAAATGTCATTTTGTTCCAACTGGTGTAATTATTTTTTTTCCAAACACAGTCAAGATAATTGTGGTATGACGCTTCTGAGATAACTGTATTCCCATAGAACGGGATTACATAAAAATGAGAGAAAACAACACAAGTGGCCCATTTCCTTTTATTACGCATGCTAGCTATACAGTTTTATCTTTATTCGTACACGATATAGAAGGAATAAGATTAAGAATTGAAATTGATTGATTGATTGATTAATTGATTGATTGGTTGGTTGTGCTTGTTTAGTGTTCAGTGGCAAATATTTAATGCATATTCTTGACGAGAACAAACTTACAATAAATACTATAGGTAGGTTATTCAAGGTAGGTCGATTTGGACAAAGGATTGGACATTTTGGCTGCAGCTGCAAATTGAGGGACGCCTCAGATACTAATTGTAAGAGCTCTTTTATGTGCAGAGAGCGTGTCACTTGCCCTACACTGAAAATCGTTTTTTACGTCCCTTTTTTGACCGGACGAGAACTAATTTGAAATCAGTATACTTAATTGAGGCTTGTATTCAAATACTTTAAATTGTTTTGATTTAATTTTCAGGTGCATTGAGAGATCTGACGGGAAGTTACAACGCTACATTCTTTTTCTTTGGAATTACAAATTTCTTTGGGGCTTTTTTATTGGTCATAGATGTTATATATCTCAGACTGAATGGACCAAAAAAAACACAGCTTGCTGAGATTGAAATTGAGCCCTTATAGACGTTTCTTCGATCAGTATTATGTTTACCGGTTTTATGTTAATACGAATTTATCTTATACTAAAAATAATAATAACAAAGTTGTTTCTTCCTTGGTTACAATAATTACATAGTTATTTCCCTTGATTTCAATGTTTGCTGTTCATTATTACCTTATGCAAAATCTTAAGCTCTGGGGTTGTGCTCATTAGTCACCAAGGGGGCGAATCTAGAATTTTTAAAATGTGGTGGGGGTGGGGTGGGGATGGCGTAATTCCATAAAACGGATTTTTGTGGAGGATTTTATGCAAATAAATCTTTTAAATCGTTAGAAATATGAGATCGATTTTTTTTCAGCGATCAAAAATAGGGCGTAATCCCTCTACGCACCCTGGTTCTGCCACTGATCACCCTTACTAACTTATGCCAAGAAAAATATAATTTAAACAATCACGACTGCGATAAGAGGAGTCTTTGGATATACTATAGGAAAGGTATTACTTCGTCTGGAACCATATTGTTTCAAACAAGAAGTACTCCGCAGTGGAAATGTTTTTCATCGAAAACTTATTGTTGAATTCGTTAGGAAAATTTTACCTACAGGAATAAAAAACCTTGCAATAAATCTGCACATCACATGCATTCCTTTTCTGGGTATCACGTTTCAAAGTAAGTTCACAAGAACGTGTACACGTTATGGTGACTTTCTCAACATTATGCTGATTAGAGCACACTTTGTAGATCTTTGTATAAAGAACCAATAAAACTTAACTTAACTTTTTTACAATACCTGCAGATATTTCTACAACATGTTCTGTCCAAATAATTCGGACTCGTCTTAATATACAACTGAAATTAATCCGCTTCAACTGAATCTTCCTTCTTATATCCATCATCAAGTTTATACGCATACTGTCATCGTTAAACTAGAGCGTCTTGTGTTTCTATTTATGAAATATTTGCAACACAAGAAAAAAACTTTAATTATACAAAAAATACATGCTATACAAAAGTAATTAAAATCTATAAAAAGTAATACAAAACATTCTAAGCAAATAATATTATCAAACATAAAATATCAACTCAAAAGTATTAAACATAACTGCTCATAATCACTTAGTAAGCATACATGTATCTAGAAGACGGTAACGTTCAAATCAACTCTTACAGTTCTTATATAAAATAAAGAAATATGCAATGAAGGCCATCTACCAATTCCTTCATTCAATATCAAAGGTACAAAGAATGACGTGCAGAACGAAAGACAATTATAAAAAGTATGGAAGAGACGGGCAGAAAGAAAGACAAATAATACAAAGTATGGAAGAGGCGGGCAGAACTAAAGCCAAAAATACAAAGTATGGTATTAGAGGCGGGTAAACATTAATGTAGTAAGATATACAATATAAAGACAACTGGGTGATAGTGATCGCGCCAACAATTCCTTTATTTCCTATATATTCAACCAATTTTTTCAATTTTCTCAGCTTTTCAAATATGTTACCATAAGTTTTACTTCAAGAGAATCATGTATAACCTGAATTGTAAATATATCACCTTTCTTCATTTCTACATGCCAATTTTCAACCAATGTTTAAAATCTTGATGTGACACATGAAGTTTCGAAAGTCGACCTACTACTAAAACAGAATTCTGTTATTAATCGAAATATTATTTCATTTCATGGCATTCAAATAGTATAATGGTATTTGTTTCATATCTCTGGACAAAAAGTTACCATTTACAGCTCACGGTAAGGTCAATGTAAAGGTAATCTAAAACAAAATGAATGTAAACAATTTAAAAGGAGACTTAAAGATTAAATAACTTACAAGTACACAAGAAAAACCTACACCCCTCTGGCGTATGATAGGCTCACAGACCTGAAGAGTACACTGGTATTGTAAAACAAGCAAACAAGCAAACATGAATATATTTGTTCATCGCAAAGAAACCTTTCACTACTTTCAATATTTACTTTTTGTTGTTGACGTGGGCTATTGCTGGTTAGTTTATTTCAATTTTAAATCATATTTTGTTGTAAAACACATAGTTATATGAATACACGCACACCCATGAATATTTACATGTATTTCATTTGGACTGATTAACCAAGTTCAGAGAGATGATTAAAAAAATCCACCAAAACAAATAATTTTGATGAAAAATACAACACTTAATCTGTGTTTACAATTCGTCATGTTCTATGATTTGCTCTAGAGGGTCTAGTCCTATTTGTGGTAATTCCTTGGACCAGAATTCTATCATTTTGGGATTTAGATTACTGCGCAGTGCTATTGGAGTGTCGAGATCTAGATAATATCTTGATGTTAGGTCAAACGGTTTCCATGGAACTGCTCCCTCACCACCAAACGGTTCCCTAAAAAAAAACATATATGAATGTAAAAAAAAAGTAAAATAACAAAAATACCAAACTCCAATGAAAATTCAAAACGGAAAGTCCCTTATCAAATGGCAAAATCGAAAGCTGAAACACATCAAACGAATGAAAACAACTGTCATATTCCTGACTTGGTACAAACATTTCCTTATGTAGACAAGAGTGCACACGCTGAAATGTCTCGCCTGCTTTACTGACCATTGATTTTATGTTGATAGTCCTAAATATAAAGCTTTACTACAAGTATCACATAAACTCAACATGATCCAAGAAAATGAGGTCATGGTCAGATAAACCAAACCGAAAATACATGTACACCTTACAATCATTCCATACACTAAATATAGTTGACCTATTGCTTATAGTTTCTAAGAAACAAACTTAACCATGAAAACTTAACTTTGACCAATGAATCATGAAAATGAGGTCAAGGTCAGATGATACATGACAGACAGACATGTACACCTTACAATCAATCCATGCATTAAATATAGTTGACATATTGTTTACAGTATTTCAGATATAAACTTAACCATGAAAACTAAATATTGACCATTGAACCATGAAAATGAGGTCAAGGTCAGATGATACCTGCAAGACAGACAAATAAACCTTACAATCATTCCAAACACCAAATATAGTTGACCTATTGATTATAGTATCTAAGAAACAAACTTAACCATGAAAACTAAACATTGACCAATGAACTGAATATGAGGTCAAGGTCAGATGATACCTGCAAGACAGACATATGCACCTTACAATCATTCCATACACCAAATATAGTTGACCTATTGCTTATAGTTTAAGAAAAACAGACAAAAATACAAAAACTAAACAATTATAACCACTGAACCATGAAAATGAGGCCAAGGTCAGATGCTACCTGCCAGTTGGACATGTACACCTTATAATCATTCCATATACCAAATATAGTAGACCTATTGCTTATAGTATCTGAGACATGGACTTGACCACGAAAACTTGACCTTGTTCACTGATCCATGAAATGAGTTCGAGGTCTGTCTGACAGGCAAGGTACGCACATACTAAATATAGTTATCCTATTACTCATAATAAGAGAGAAATTAACATTACAAAAAATGTTAACTTTTTTTTCAAGTAGTCACTAGACCATGAAAATGAGGTCAAGGACAATGGTCATATGACGGACGGAAACTTCATAACATAAGGCTTCTATATACCAAGTAAGAAGCATCCAGGTCTCCTGCCTTCTAATATAAAGCTTTTAAGTAGTTAGTTAACGCCGCCGCCGGATCACTATCCCTACAGGCTCGACACAAATGGTGAATTAAACCTGGTTTTATAGCTAGCTTAACCTCTCACTTGCTCAACGTACACTTGCCGATTCCCATAATCAGAAATTGGTTATAAAGAACTCTAAAAGACATGCTGCTAATTTTGTTACAATTAACATTTACTTCACCCAAGTTAAAATACTAGTCTTGTTACAAGTCTTGGTGATTTTGATTTATTATGTTATAAGCTTTATCTTTGACGTTTGTCCCATGGCTTCTTTTATTCAGTTATATGTTCTAGTTTATTCCCATGGCTTCTTTTATTCAGTTATATGTTCCAGTTTATTCCCGTGTCTTCTTTTATTCATTTATATGGTCAAGATTTTTCCCAGGGCTTCATTTATTTAGTTAAATGTTCCAGATTTCCCCCATGGTTATATTTATTCAGTTATAAGTTCCAGGTTTTTCCCATGCCTTCATTTATTCAGTTATATGTTCCAGATTTTTCTCATGGCTTCATTTAATCAATTATAATTCCAGATTCTCCTCATGGCTCCATTTAACCAGTTATATGTTCGACATCCGTCGCTGAATGTAAAGGAACCAACTTTCAATTAAGTAAAGGGGGGATGAGTTGAAAAGTTTTAAATCTAATTACATGATTTCATATAAAACTGTATGTTGCATTGTTTTAAGGTGTTCATTTTTCATTTTTTTTTCCAATGCACGTACATCTGCTCTTTATTTTCAGTTTATAGTAAGTTTTATAGATATATTGCAGACGTGTTTAGGGCCGTAAATTACATAGAGGCATGTAGGCAGTTGCCGCCTATTGCGGACTGACAAAAAAAAGAAAAAATGAAGAAAAAAATACTGAAAAGAAAAAATTGTTAAAATCAAGCATTATTTTAATAGCACTGGTTGTTACTTTTACGTCTATTAATGAGATTGGGTCAAAATGTACAATAGAGCCAGCAATCAAACGCACGAACTTCTACCCAAATATAAAACAAATACTTTTGCTTCTGTTAGCCTTGCCAGTTGGGTCCTGCAGTTGTGAGAGATCGTTTTCTGCGCTACGGCGCCTTAAAACATGGAACAGGTCAACAATGACAGAAAGCAGATTACGTGGTCTGGCTATGCTACACATAGAATTGACAATGTTGGCAATATTGAATGCATAGTAGTGCTAAAGAGATGGGAATCATCAGGGCACAGAAAAATCGCCTTAGCAATTGACAAAGCCTAACCGAATAAAATTGTCAGTGTAAACAAAAAGTGTTACGTTATAATAATTTGAATTTGATAATTAAAAGTTATGAGTTATTAATTATGCATTTTCATTTTAAGGTTTGAAAATTGTCTCTGAAACGAAGTCAAAATAGCTCGATTGGGACAGCCAAAAAAGCATGATAAACCACAAAAAAAGGCTCAAGTTTAGGGGGCCTTTCATTTTAAGGTCGCAAATTGTTTCCCTAAAACTAAGTAAAAATAGCTTGTGAAGAGTCATAAAGCAGGATGAAGCGTAAAAAATCTTACTTTACCGGCACACGTAATCTAACTCTGGTTTATAACTATTTTCAATATATTCCAGGCGTTTATTTATTGAAATATAACAAAAATTTAACAAGTGGTGAATTCTGAGGAGGTACATTGCATACAGGGAAAAGGCCCGAAAAAATATCATTTTCTGCTTAAAATGGGTAAAAAAAAAATTTTCGCATCGCTCCGCTCGGCATATCCCTACTGCCTCCCCTTACAAGACAGGCAATTTACAGCCCTGGTATGAATGAACGAATTAATTAAACCTTAGACATTTTTATCAATAATAATGTCACATAAAATTAATAAGCATTCTAAAATTGAAAGTAAATATGACACCAAACATCTAGGTAATAAATATTTCTCATTTCAAATACATTTATATAAGCAGACCCGTTGGATTAACTTCAGATAATTTTTTTTGGAAGTATGTATATTACTTGTTTAATAGTAAAAGAGCTCGACTCAAAGAAATTTCTTAGTGACAAATTTTATGACGATGTCATTCCTAGAGGTTCTCAAGAGCCTGTGTCGCTCACCTGATTCTACTTTGGTTTTGGAAATCATAACGGATACCCTAATACTTAGAATGTTATGGTATCCATAGAATTTACTTATGACTTGCTGTTACATGCATCTATATTTCATTTATATGTTGTTTTTAATATTATTGTCTGTATTCGGATCACGGCTCTATTGTGCTCTTTCGAATAAATATTGAATTGAATTGAATAATGATTGAGACCAAATTTGGTTTAATATTGGCCCCGTTATTAAATAAAAAATCTTGGGGGTATGTATTTCACATAGGGTCTTGTGTTAAACTAAGTCCCTTGCTGGCTGCCATCTTGGAGGATGGTTCGGCTACAAAGTAACAACACTTAGTCAGCACCTCATTAGGAACATTCATGCCATGTTTGGTTTCATTATATTCAGTGGTTCTCTAGAAGAAAACATTTGTATGTATTTCCCATAAGTGTCCTATTTTAAACTTAATCCCCCTGCTGGCAGCCATCTTGGATGACAAATCAGCTACAAAGTAACAGCACTTGGTCAGCACCTCTAAAGAAACATTCATACCATGTTTGGTTTCAATCCATTTAGCGGTTTTCTAGAAGAAGACATTTATATATATTTCCCATAGGGTCCTTGGTTAAACTAAATCCCCCGCTGGCAGCCATCTTGGTTGATGGATTTGCTACAAAGTAACAACACTTGGTCAGTACCTCATAAGGAACATTCATGCCATGTTTGGTTTCATTCCATTCAGTGGTTCTTCAAAAGAAGACTTTTGTATGTATTTCACTTAGGGTCCTTTGTTAAACTAAGTTCCCCTCTGGTAGCCATCTTGGATGATTGCCTGGCAACAAAGTAACAACACTTGGTCAGCACCTCATTAGAAACATTCATGCCATGTTTGGTTTCATTCCATTCAGTGGTTCTCTATAAGAAGACATTTGTATGTATTGTCCATAGGGTCCTATGTTAAAAGAAGTCACCCACTGGCAGCCATCTTGGATGATTGCTCACCTACAAAGTTACAACACTTGGTCAGCACCTCATAAGGAACATACATGCCATGTTTTATTTCATTCCATTCAGTGGTTCTATAAAAGAAGACTTTTGTATGTATTTCCCATAGGGTCCTATGTTAAACTAAGTCCCTCTCTGGCGGCCATCTTGGATGATGGATCGGCTTCAAAGTAGCAACACTTGGTCAGCACCTCATAATGAACATTCATGCCATGTTTGGTTTCATTCCTTTCAGTGGTTCTCTAAAAGAAGACATTTGTATGTATTGTCCATAGGGTCCTATGTTAAACTAAGTCCCCCGCTGGCGGCCATCTTGGATGATTGATCACCTACAAAGTTACAACACTTGGTCAGCACCTCATAGGGAACATTCGTGCTATGTTTTATTTCATTCCATTTATTGGTTTTCTTAAAGAAGAAATTTGCATGTATTTCCCATAGGGTCCTATGTTAAACTAAGTCCCTCTCCGGCGGCCATCTTGTATGACTGATCGGCTTCAAAGTAACAACACTTGGTCAACACCTCATAAGGAAATTTCATGCCATGGTTTGTTTCAGTCCATTTAGTGGTTCTCTAAAAGAAGACATTTGTATGTTTTGTCCATAGGGTCCAATGTTAAACGAAGTCCCCTGCTGGCGGCCATCTTGGATGATGGATCGGCTACAAAGAAACAACACTTGGTCAGCACCTCATAAGGAACAATCATGCCATGTTTGGTTTCATTCCATTCAGTGGTTCTCTAGAAGAAGTTCAAAATGTAAAAAGTTAACGACGACGATAACGACGGAAGACGGACGCCAAATGATGAGAAAAGCTCACCTGGTCCCTTTGTTCTTTGCACACTATTAATACTCACAATATAGTTTCAAGAAACTCTTCTTGGATAGCGTTTTGCTTACAGAATCTTTCTTTTCTAGAGATTATCTTTTTAAAAGATTGTTTTTTTTTCTTTTAAGCCAAAACTAATCTTTATATAATCAGAATAATATATATAGAGTACAGCAAATAGGGCATACCAACAACGATTTCATCATAATTTATTTTGAGTGTTTCAACGAATAAATCTGAACAAGTGCAACTATAATCAAATGTAACAGTTATTAGATAATCGAAGTATTTTATAAACAATGAGGTTATGATAATTTTATTTCTTACATATATCCTGGCTAGTTCACATTTCTTTCATACAGCCTGGCTAGTTCAGCTTTCTTACATATAGTCTGGCTATTTCAGCTTTCTTACATACAGTCTGACTTGTTCAGCTTTCTTACATACATCCTGGCTAGTTCAGCCGTCTAACATACAGTCTGGCTATTTCAGCTTTCTTACATATAGTCTGGCTATTTCATCTTTCTTACATACAGTCTGACTTGTTCAGCTTTGTAACATACAGTCCGGCTATTTTGGTTAGTTCAGCTTTCTAACATACATTCAGGCTAGTTCAGCTTTCTTACATACAGTCTGGCTAGGTCAGCTTTCTAACATAGTCTGCTTATTTTGGTTAGTTCAGCTTTATAATATACAGTCTTGCCAGTTCAGCTTTCTTACATACAGTCTTACCAGTTCAGCTTTCTAACATGTACAGAGTGGCTAGTTCAGCTTTCTAACATACAGAGTGGCTAGTTCATCCTTTTTACATTCAGTCTGGCTTGTTCACCTTTCTTGCATACAGTCTGACTAGTCTAGCTTTTTAACATACAGTCTGGCTAGTTCAGCTTTCTAACATTCAGTCTGGCTAATTCAGTTTTCTAACATACAGTCTGGCTAGTTCAGCTTTCTTACATTCAGTCTGGCTAATTCAGTTTTCTAACATACAGTCTGGCTAGTTCAGAGTTCTTACATATAATCTGGCTAGTTCAACTTTCTAAGATACAGTCTGGCTAGTTCAGCTTTCTAACATTCAGTCTGGCTAATTCAGCTTTCTTACCTACAGTCTGGTTAGATCAGCTTTTTTACATTCAGTCTGGCTAGTTCAGCTTTCCTATATAATTCAGTTTTCTAACATACAGTCTGGCTAGTTCAGCGTTATTACATACAGTCTGGCTTGTTCAGCGTTCTTACATACAGATACAGTCTGAATCGTTCAGCTTTTTAACATACAGTCTGGCTAGTTCAACTTTCTAACATACAGTCTGGCTAGTTCAGCCGTTCTTAGATACAGTCTGCCTAGTTCAGCGTTCTTACATACAGCCTGGCTAGTTCAGCGTTCTTACATATAGTCTTGCTAGTTCAGCATTCTTACATATAGTCTGGCTAGTTCAGCTTTTTTACATACAGTCTTGCTAGTTCAGCATTCTTACATATAGGCTGGCTAGTTCAGCGTTCTTACATATAGTCTGACTTGGTCAGCTTTCTTATATACAGTCTGGCTAGTTCAGCGTTCTTACATACAGTCTGGCTAGTTCAGCTTTCAAACATACAGTCTTGCTAGTTCAGCTTTCTTACCTACAGTCTGGCTAGATCAGCTGTCTTACATTCAGTCTGGCTAGTTCAGCTTTCCTATATATAGTCAGGCTGATTCAGCTTTCAAACATACAGTCTAGCTCAGCTCAATATGCATGTATCTATTTCTTCAATAGTAAATCAATGTAAAAAAACAAAAGTTGAATGATGCAACACTTACCCGGTTCTTGCAAATGACGTCCAATACTGAATAATCTTATCAGATAAATCCTTTTCTTCCGGAGTGAACTGAGTCTCGTTTAGAGACGGCATGACGGTGTGCATATCAAACATAAACTGTAGGTCTTCACCATGACCAGAACCCTTTGTCCATTGAGGTAACTCAGCAAACCCCCATTCTATGTGTTTTTCCTTGGAAAACAAGTATTGGTAAGACTTGCCCCCTAGATGTGTGTGATAGTTGAGCATCTCCATTGCGGGATAATTGAATATGATATCGCCCAGTAAATCATTTGCTCTCATGCTTTGTTCATCTTTGGAATTTTTTGTTGTGTAAAAGGAACACATCTTTTGCTTTACACCAGTATCATTTTGGTAAAATTGTTCAACATAAGGAGCGATCATTCCCTCACAAATAAACCTAGCTGGAATTCCCTCAGTTACATTAAAATCATAGATTTCCTGCATTTTCGGGAATATTATAAAATTTAGAACAAGTCCTTCATTTGATGTATATCCAGTGATGAACTCTAGAGATTTGAAAAAGTTTGCAACCTCTGATGATCTATCATCTAAACTTCTAATTGGATGATCGTGGAACAACTCCCCGTCTACCACGGCAGCATATGGTGGTTGATACATATCTATTTTGTCTTGGGACACAGAACTCTCATAATTAGTGGCTTTCAATAGTTCACTGTAATCTTTATCTCGAAGACAGTTTACAAATTTAAACATATCATTGATCGGACATGCTGTCTTTTTTGCCAGTTCAATGGTTCTATCATTAATTTGCTTCTTCGTCATAATACTCAATCTATTAGCAACACCACTTTGTGCTATAATTCTGTGGAATAGTCCTTGATTTGACGGTATTAGGGACTGGAGAGACACACTCCACCCACCAGCAGATTCTCCAAATAATGTAACAGAATCGGGGTTACCTCCAAATGACGCAATATTGTCGTGTACCCATTGGAGTGCTAGTTTTTGATCCCATAGACCGTAGTTTCCAAATGCAGCTGGATGGTCCAGAGTAAAAAATCCTAGTATATCTACCCTATAATTAATTGTTACGACTATAACATTGCCTTGTGTAGCTATCCATCCTCCGTCATACTGGCTGGAAAAACCTGCCATGAAACCTCCACCATATATCCACACCATAACGGATAATTTCCTGTTTTCATCCAGACTCCCCGGAACATAAACATTTAAGAATAAACAGTCTTCCGACATTTTACGAGGTGCAAAGTCTGGTGTATATTCGGATACTGTCTGGGTGCATCCTGGTCCAAATTCTATTGCATCCAGAGTATCTGTCCATTTGTCGACTGGTTCTGGCTTTTTGAACCTCAACGGTCCGACAGGTGGTTTACCAAATCGAATTCCGCGGAATTCATGAAGGTTCATTCCGGTATGTTTATTTTGTGTCTTGAGTCCATTTATAGGACCAGACGGAGTGTTAACTCTAGCTGTTTCTATCATCTCGCCTGCTGTGAATGCTAAGCATATCAAAGCCATATAAATAGTAATTGAAAAGGTAGCCATTGTCCTGAAATAAATATAAAACAATATTTTTTTAAATTGATTTGAAATAAACAATTTCCCTCAGGGTGCCACATCTTGATTACAGAGAAGCCTCTGTTTGAGATTTATATAATTAAATGAAGGTTAGACAAATATGGCAGTGACAAATTAAGAAAAGTCCGCTTATTGTAAGATTTTAATGGACCGACTTACCTCACGGCTGAAAACCCACGAAAGGATAGAGTTAACATTATACTGAAATGATATTGGCCTGTGTACAGTTTTCTCATGGTGCTGATTTTTGTAAAATCGCGATAAAGTGTAATTTTTCGATTTATTTCTTTTTCATTTTATGACATGGGAACAGTTATAATTAATTTCCAAGTGATGTTTTCAGCAATAATTTTCTATGAAAAGAAACCACCAATGATCAGCTTTTGTTCAACATCAAACATAAAATTAAACGAAAGTACACATTTGAATCAAATGGACGATTTTCGAATGGTAGCATATTTTCAAATTGACCGTCTGTCAAAGTATATTAATATAAAAAAAAGGAGATGTGGTATGATTGCAAATGAGATAATTATCAACCAAAGTTCAAATGAAGTGGATGTAAGCAATTATAGGCAATCGTACGGCCTTCAACAATGAGAAAAACCCATACCATATAGTCGGCTATAAAAGGTCCCGAGAGAAAACTAACCGCCTATAATTTATAACAAAATAATTTACGAAAAACAAATATGACAGACATGAACCAATGACAACCACCGAACGAACTACAGGCTCCTGACTTGGGACAGGCACATAAAGAATGTGGATTCTTTATAATAATTCTTTAAGAATAGATGTGCAGGATGATAGCGTTTTATCGCCATCTTCATGACGAATTGCCTTATATCTCCACATCATATAACGTCAAGATAAAGGTACTATATATAATTCAGAATTGCTAATTACTTGCATGCTGAAATGATCTGCCTCGAGTTATCTAAAATATTACATGAGTCTGGGCATGGTGGTGCTTTTCAATGGCTAACAGATAATTTGAGAAATAGAAGGAAGCGTTGTAAATTGATCACAAATCCATAAAAAGATCAGACCCTTAATTAAAGATACTGCAAAAAATATGAAAAGCAGATAACGAGAGGTCGAAATTTCGAATGATTCCTATCCAAATTTATTTGCCGTTTCTACTAGTACAGTTTTACAATTTCTTCCTACCTTATAAGATTAATTTGCATGCTTAGAAGACGACAACTGTTTTCAAATGATTACAAGGAACCTCTCAAGTTTCGAAGAAAAACAATAATTGGTAAGATGTAATCTATATGTATATTGAGTCAATAGAGAGAATTAGTACAGTGGTAATATTATAAAAAAAACTCCGCGTTGAAGGCCGTACTTTGACCTATAATTGTTTACTTTTTGTACACTTGGATGGAGAGTTGTCTCATTGGCATTCATACCACATCTTCTTATTCATATTTAAGGCAGATCATTTTCTCTCCCTTTTTATATATTCCAGCGGCTCATCCTGACCACGCATTACATAATGAGTGCCCCTCCCCTTGATTGCATAATACTTGTCGATTTTATTTGGATATATTGTTGTAGAGGCCACACCAATTTGATTAACAGTTCTTCGGACAAAAGCTCCAAAAATATGGAGCAAGCGAGCGAAATTTTTTTGTTTTTATATATTTCTTGAAAATTATTTTTTTTTAAGCGAGTGCTCTACAAGTGAAGCGAGCGGTATAATTTTATTTTAAATAGTGTGATTTAGAAGTTGTACGATTTATGTACATGTTATAACTGGGTTATTTCATAGAAAAACGAGGACCAACAGATGCCCTAATGCACATAATTTGATTTATTGGTGCCTGTACCATATCAGACTTTCTTGTCTCACTGTGGTTTAGCTAATTTTGGTTATTTTCTTCAAGTAAGCTTTGTCTATGTGAATTTTCATTAGAAATCCATATATATATATATAGATATAAGAAGATGTGGTATGAGTGCCAATGAGACAACTCTCCATCCAAGTAAAAATTTATAAAAGTAAACCATTATAGGTCACAGTACGGTCTTCAACACGGAGCCTTGGCTCACACCGAACAGTAAGCTATATATATATATATATATTTAAGATCCATTTATTACACCTTGTGATCCGTTTCTTTGGCAATCGCCATTGGCAGTCAGCAGGATTTAAGAACATTTGTTGTTCGACCTGTTAGTCAAATGCGTTTTGTTAAAATATACTTTTTCACTTTTTTGGTCTTTTGGAAAATGTTGTTTGTGCTGTATTTAGACCCCTCTAACAAGAAATTTGTTTTGCATGCACACGTATAAAAATTGCGGTTTTTATCCAACGCAATCATAGGTTTGAACGTTGTTTTCAATTTAGACTTGTTTATATATAATATATATAGGAAGCATAGCAGATGCAGTTTTATAAGAGGAAGTATGTTAGGTAAATGACAAATGTTGAATAAAATTAAAATATGTGTATGTATAAAAAAAATGACCCTGAAAGATATTTGATAGTTTCCATTATATGGTTGTTTATTGATGTAGTTCAGTGTTTCTGTTGTTCCGTTGTTTTCCTCTTAAAGTGATGTGTTTCCCTCGGTTTTAGTTTGTTACACGGATTTGTTTTTGCTTATTCGAATTATGACTATTGAACAGCGGTATACTACTGTTGTCTTTATTTACTGGCTGCTTGCCATCCAGTTGGAACTATTTATGCATATTTTATGATCAAAATAATGAGTGAGGTGAATATTTCTTGCTTTGTACTAAAACAACATCCTGAGTAAGATAGACTAGTTATATTGCTATACATGTTGATCCAAATGTACTAGAATATTCCCTTAAAATACCTGTCACCCCATTCACATGCATTTTTCTTACTGATCAAAATACTCTTTTCTTTTTGTTGCTCAAAGCTGTAATGCATTAAAACTCTTTAGCTTGACTAGAAGTGGTTGAACCAATTACACACTCCTAATTATTATGAGCATGCCAATCACAATACGGCATCACCTTGGTCTCGTTGGAACTCTTTGATCTTGATCTTGATCTCGATAGGTTTGCGGTGATACATCCAAGGATATTAATACACCGCGCGTGCGTCAAGTAATTTACTTAATTGGGGCCCCTTATAATTTCACTGAAGGTTTTAGCTGGTTCTTCTGCTGTCTGAATTTTGATGAAAACATCCGGTGGTAGTTGGTTCCAATCTTTAATGGTATTTGGTATGAAACTGAATGTTAATGTGTCTGATTTTGTTTGAAGTCTGAGGAAATGTTGGCTATGCATGTTCTTGGTTGTCCTTGATAGTTTTTTCAGTTGTTCAGATGGTAAGTTTGCTTGACCGTGTATACTTTTGCAGAACAGGATCAGTCTGTTTTGTGTACGGCGGTCTTTTAGTGATGTTAATTGCAGCTGGTCTAATTAAAATTGCTGTCATACTTCCTGGTTTGTAGTTGTAGTTTGATGTTATGAACCTAGCCGCTCTTTTCTGTACATTTTCCAGTTGGTCTTGAAGATATATTTGATGTTGGTCCCAGGCAGTGCTTGCATATTCTAGGACAGGTCGTATCAGTCCTTCATCTGCCTGGAGTTTAACTTCAAGTGGACATGCTGAGAGGTTTCTTTTTAGTAATCCTAATGTCCTATAAGATTTGTTGCATATCTCCTCTATGTTAGGTCATTTGTGATGTTTACTCCTAGATATTTAATTGATGTTAAAAATTGGAGTTCTGTATCTTTGAGAGTGTAATTAAATGTTGTTATTTTCTTCTTGCGACTTAATGTCATCATGTTGCATTTAATTGGTTGGAATCTCATACCCCAATTAGTCGCCCAGTTACCAAGAGTATCTATATATTTCTGTAGTTCTGCACAATCATCTTCATTTTTTATTTCTCTGTAGCATACACAGTCATCTGCGAACAGCCTTTAAATCCCCCCCAACAAAAGAGGAGTTCTGCTTGCATGCCAAAAGAGTAACAAGGGGATATGGGGTTTCATCAACATCCAATACTTCTGTAGTTTTTTAAAAACTTCATGGGAATATTTTACAATTCATTTCATCCAAAAGATAGATAGGTCTATGCCTGTTGAAACAAGGATCGGGGGTGACGATGGTTCTAACAAATATTGATGTGTTTGTGGTCATCTAACGAAAGATTTTTAATTTTTGCATCCTAAAACAGGTCTTTAAAGGTAAATCGAGAAGTATTTCGGATAACTATGTGTTCAATAACTACTTGTCCACGGCAATGAGCTGAAACAACTGCATGTTGGCATCCCGATTTTTGACCTTTTATTTACAAATCGATTTATCACACGTATTTTAAACGATAGGAGCATAATATGCAACAGAGAAGCGTCTATGTGAGAAAAAAAATCAAGGAAAAACTAATTTTGGAGCGGTATGCGGACCAAAAAATTGCGGAGGCGGTAATTCTTTTTATTGAAAAGTCAATTTCTCCAAAAGAGCGGGAAAATCCAAAGAACTATTAATCAAATTGGTGTGGCCAAATGTACATTTTTGTAATCGGGCTATGATTAAATAAGTAATTTATTCACATGCTTGCTGTTACCTGGGAACAGTATATCTAACTATGGCACGACGATAAAATCGACTACAATCAGGTAGTGTCAAGTCCCGTCAATATATATGTTCCTGCTGTTACTGAGTATTTTAAATCAAATCAAAACAAATCAAATCAAATCTATATTATTATTCCAATCAAATTGCAAGAGGCATTTACAAGCAAAGAAAAGTATGTTAATGGTTTACACAGTACAAGAAACAAACATGAAACATTTAATTGTATAATGTGGCAGATAGTGTATTATTAGATATAATTAAAATGAAAAATAAGTACAATTGGACTGTTTTGTCCGTCATGCATCGGGTTCACATCAACATCAACATCATTATCATTTTAGGATAATGTACCCTTTTGTTGTTTCAATGCTAAACATATGGAAATTTGATAAAAAAAAATCCGCAGCTTTTCCCGTTGTACTCCTATATTTGACAATTTTGTGCTTAATATATAGAAGATTATTGCAGGCAGTGCTAGCAAAGATTTCCCTAAAACATGTATATAAATAAACATGTTGGTTAAAACAAGTATAAAAAAATGACTTATTCAAGTACACCTTCTAGGATACGCTCGACTTTAGTGACTCAGCATGAGGTTTTTGTGGGGGATTTTAAAGGTTGTTTATGACTTTTTATAGACAATAAACGCTAGTACATCATACAAACAAACAAGTGAATAATCTATGTTCACGATTTTATATCGAAAATCTGCTGTGGGTTTTTTGCAAATATCTTGGCTGAATTTACCACCAAATCCCCATTTTCTATTAAATGCAATGAAATATTTAACAGTATGGCGTTGAACAACGTTTCCCTTAGGTTTATGTACAAAATGACACGCACTTTTATTCTGTATTTTTACTGTTTTGATATTGTAGCACTTTGAAAAATTCGCAATACACAGGCCTTCAGAAGAATTCCTAAACCTTTACATTTATTCCGTTATAAATCACTTATAACTTATTTTAGATGAATACGAAAACAAAAGAGAAAAAATGAAAAAAAATATTTGAACAAGATCAGTTGATCATATATGTGGTATTCTCTGTAAACAAATTATTCTTACCTCTTTCTAAAGTTTTGCTAGTTAATCAACTGAATCTTGCACTTGTGATTCAGGTAAAAAGACCTATATTTTGAACTGCATGAACTTTAAAAAGGCTGCTACTAAAATATGGATAAGGATTAAGGAATGGAAATTAATCTAAAAAATATGCTTTAAATTTCCCCAATCTGACTAAGATACAAACTTTTGTCCACGCTTTGCTTACAACACTTTCTGTTGTGGTAATGTTATACATCATATATCAGCCAATCAAAGTTCAGGCTTCAATTTATTCAAAGTATCAAATTGTTTCATTACGACAAAACAGGAGGAACCCGAAAAGTCTTCAAAAGTAGAATAAAGCTTTGTCAGATCATTGTAACAGAAGAATGGATACAGGACCTGTATTTTAGGAAGATCGAATTTCCCCAGAGCTTATCGGAGATTTATAAATAATCATATACTGTGACATTTTCTGACAAGTATCATTAAAATCTCGAGAAACACTTGAAGTGACATAATCTCATAATGGAAAAGGAGATATATGACGTATTACACTCTACATGCATCATACACCATGCTCCCTTACATGCATATTTTACACCATGCTCCCTTCACAAGTATTTTACACCACGCAAAGACATAAATCGCCCCTGTTCTAAACAAACCGTGCAAAGTTGAAACAGATTCAAAACCACATTATAATTTGAAGATTACATATTTTGTTGAACGTATTTTTCATGCTCTTATATATCCCGAACGTACCAAATTAAGGTCAGTAAAGAAGTCACAAATAATTCAAATATAAGCATTTAGATATCCGAAAACGTAAATACGCATTAAACAATATAAACAGTTTATTTGTATTGTTCCTCATCAATCAGACAGCTCAGTCTTAGCACCTGCTTTCAGAAAAAATATTAAAAATTCAGTTGCTCTAACGTTCTGAACCCACTTATTATCATCTTTTTAAAAGAAAACTGATCGGATGATTTGTAATACTTGAATTGATTATATTCCGTTGTTTAGTAAATCCCTCGTTTAGACTTAATTTAAAGTAAATATTATAAATCCTCTATATAAAATATACGTAGAGAACTTGTCAGAAAGACAAGTCTATTTAAACCGATCGAAAGTTCAAATCAATGTTGAACTACACAAATCGTCTATTCCAACCTATTTTACCGATCTACTTTACTTGACTTAAAAAAGATCGATTTTTTTTCTCGTTTTTGATTGTTTTATTTTGTCGTGTCATGCCATGTCATGAAGTCTTGTATAGCATACTGTACGGTATGGGTGTTGCTTTTTCACATTTGGTTTCTTGTGGATAGTTGTCTCATATCAATCACACCACAACTTTAAGAAGTATTTGAGGTTAAACGTGAACTATGATTTTAAACAGAAAGCATGAAACTCAACTATACGGAGCATCTTATTGAAAGTCTCCTTTCGACAGGACGTGCTGAGTATTTGTACATCCCACACAGCCAAATGAACGGCCAACTTTTTCAGGATTTTTACTGCCGGACGGGATAAGTACAAATGATGACAATTTTTCTATACCAGAATCAACCCATTTACAAATTTCATCAAATTTTATTCATAGGGAAAGACTTTACAAAAAGTGAACACCTAGATAGATAACTTCATACTCTCAATACATTTAGATATTGAACTAGCTTATAGAAATTGCTTTAAGCATCTAACGTCGGCTCTCTTTTTAAATTACTTTTTGGATGTCTTTACAATATGGCAAGCTCTAAATCGTCCCCATTTTCTAAATAATAATACAGCAACCCTGCGAGAAAAGTAATCAAAAGACATGCATATAGCGCAACATATAGTCTTCAGTGACACATTGCTTTCTCTAAGAACGTGTCATATATGTATCATTTAAAAAAAAACGATGACCACATTAAATATAAAACACGTGAACACAACACTTTCTTTTTGAAGGAAAAACATATATTTCATCCAGATCATCAGAAATGTACTTCTATTGAATTATTGTCTTCCATTTATTCTTTTTTACCGAGAGAGTTTCCAAATTCAGTGACCTCATACATGACTCCTCGCCAGATATTCAGGAATCACAGCGCAAATGCAAATGCAAAAAAAAAAACAACCAACAGGATGGAAGAAAAAGTAAACAAACGTGGCAGAAAGATAGTACTACATATGATTATTTTTCAAATTCTTCACTCGATTATTTTCAGATAAAATCTACAAATTTAAGTATCCACGAACATGTTACTTTTGCTCAAACCACGAACATTGATACCCACGAATAAAAGTAATATCTCAGTATTACAAAACAAATGGGAACGCATGGAAAATAAAAATAAAAATAAAATAAAATAAACATCGCTCTACCCACTTGGACTAAAAACAAACTGAATTCGTGTTCGAGATGAACTTTGAGTAACAAAACATATCATTTTGTCAGTATTCGTTTGTACCGCTATTTCTGTAATTTGTTGAAACAGACCTCTTGAACAACCTTTAGATTGTCAAAGCAAAGAAACTCATGTGTAACAAAGAATGGAAAATAGGTGTGTTATACACTGTAATTTCTTACAGTTTATACAGATACATGTACTATTAATAGAGTATAATAACACTAAAAGTAAAACGAACATCATCTTCTTATATCTATCAAACTATATGTAAATATAAATCAATGCTTACACTGGCCAATTAAACATTCTTTATACATTTACTAGGACCTTGTTAAGCGATTTCTTAATATTTAAATGTTTACTTTGTTATAGCAACTCTAACCTCGTCACACTTTCAACATGTATCATTATGACAGATTTTTATTACGGTAAAAATTTCAACTTCAAATCACTCATTTGAAATACCATTTGGCAGATTTATTTTATAACTCGAATTAATCTCTTCATCGCCTAGTAAATAAAACCTAACTTACTAACTAAATAACTAACTTACTAACTAACAAAATAAACAAATGAAAAGATAAATAAACTTAAAGTACTCGGAGTTACGAGATAAAAACAAACTACCAAAAACAAAAACAGACTTATTTGATTTACGTCGTGAAATAATGAGTATATAAGTATTTGTAGTTAGCAGGAAACAGAATGAGTAAATAAGATATTTTTGGTAAATAGGAAACATAATGTGCAGACAAGATTCTAAGAAACATAATGTGCAGACAAGATTCTAAGAAACAGAATAAGAAACTAAAGTATCACAGGTTACTAGGAAACAAAATGAGTAAATACGATATCTGTGGTAAATAGAAAACAGAAAGAGTAAATACGATATCTTTTGTTACAATGAAATAGAAAGAGTAAATACGATATCTGTGGTTTCTTGGAAACAGAAGGAGTAAATAAAACATATGTGGTTCTTAGAAACAGAACGAGTAAATAAAATATCTGTTGTTACTAGGAAACAGAACGAGTAAATAAGATATCTGTGGTTACTAGGAAACAGAACGAGTAAATAAGATGTCTGTTGTTACTAGGAAACAGAACGAGTAAATAAGATATCTGTGGTTACTAGGAAACAGAACGAGTAAATAAGATGTCTGTGGATACTAGGAAACAGAAGAGATCATTGATGTGTTTTCTGATGATAAGTTTTTCTGGTGACGACAATGAAATTTAAAACGATTATTTAAAGATTTATCAAATCTTTGAAAATGGTCATATCCCGAATGGTCCACAAAACATTGACACTGTCGTGGCACTTCTAAAATTTTATTTGACGTCTTCTTTGTACTTTGGCTACTTGATTTGTCTGATTTTAAATCTGTCACACTGATCATGTTTTCTGTTGGCTCTACCTTGTTCATATGATCAGTATTATATAATGTCCACCCTATATAATATATTACAGTCAGAAGAAGACCGGTTAATAGTCCTGTAAAACCACTTATCAGTATATACGATTTCCTCTTGGTTGAAGGCAGCTTACTGCTGTAACAAGAACATTCAGTGTATTCCAGATCTGTACAAACCTAGAAAAAAGAAGATTAGCAAAGTTAAAGGCACTATTCAGTCAGAAAACCGCAAATACCCATATTCAACATAACTATAAAATTTCAATTTACAGATAAGCCAGCATTATATCATGTATAAACAAAATAAGTCACATCGTTTGTTTCAAAAACATTCCGTTAAAACTGTTTGATATTGAGAATAAAGAGCTGCACCATGAGCGCATGATACGCCCGTCGCTTATTCAAAGTTCCATAACTCATCATTGTGATATCAGAAATTTATAAAAAAAACTAAAGGGATCTTATTTTGATAGATATGAACCAGTCACCAAAGTTTCATGAAAACTGCTCAAAGCATTTTTGAGTTATTGTCCGAAAACTGGAAAATCCCCCCTTTTTATGAATAAAATCCCACAACTCGGAAACGTAAAATCTAAAATTTATAAAAATCCAAAGGGAGCTTACGTCAATAGATATAAACAATTCACCAAAGTTTCATGAACATTGGTTAAAGCGTTTTTGAGTTATTGTCCGACATGATGACGACGGACGGACAGACGGAAGGACGGACAACGGTATACCATGATACGTCCCGTAAACGGGCGTATAAAAATAAAATCGGTAATCCTATCAACTCAAAAGCATTATACATCTCGAGACATAGTTATAGCATATTTATTTTGTAATGAACATTTAAGAAAAGACAAAAGATAGCAATAACAAATGTACCTAATTCTCAGATATTTTCTGAAAATCAACGATAATTTGATAACTATACTTCTCTCACGATCTTTCGGTTTTTAAAAATCTCACAGAGCCAAACTGCCACCTCAGAGGAAAGAATTGCCCCATTTGTCATTACCCAAGCCTTGCATACGATTGCACATGTATTCAGTTAAGGATTCCCAAGTTTAAACATTTCAGATGATACATACCCCGTTTGCACATTCCAAGCCGTCAATCATCAAATGTTAATTCAAATATATACCATCTGAAATGGTACATCCTCCTGAAAACTTCCTTAACTGTACAAACAAGTATAGAAGTAAAAATACGAAGAATAAATGAAAAGGTAAATTTTAACATCCAAAAT